GTTAACTACACAACCAAGCTAACGACACAACGATGTTAACTACACAACAATGTTAATACACAACAACGTGCTTTCTGACAGCTTTGTTAATAAAGGTTAATTGTTTGTACTTCATTAGACTCAGACTTTTTAAAGAGCAAGTCAGCCTTTCATTGCGTGTGCTCTGTATGTGTTATATTTACATTTTAAGTGCACACAGGGTTTTTGGTTTTGTTATGCAGGACATTTTTATTGTTTATACATTTATTTTGTACAGTTACAGCTTTGATAATAAATTGTGCCTGTGTGACAATGAAGACAAAGCTTTGATTCAGAAATATATTTTTGTTACTACTTTATGTAAAGAAAAAAATATTGAGATATCTATCGTATATCACCATTTATCTTAAAATATCAAGATATTCATTTTGGTTCATATTGCCCAGCACTAGTTTAGGGTTTGATGCCCTGAGTAACTTCACTTGGTCATCCTGAGTTATAGTTTTATGTACTTTATGTTAACTGTTGATTTATTTACTGCACAGCATTCTGGACACATTTAGCTTTAAGTCAATAATCAAGGATGTTCAATGTTTTAAAAACAATCTGTTTTTCTGTGCACAGATTATCCTAAAAGAAACATCTCCCCGTTGCTTTGTATGATTTTTTAAATTTAATTTTTCCTATTTAACAACTCAACATGTGATGTTCTGTTTCTTTTGTAAACATTTGTTCAGCATCTTCTTATTCTACTGGGTGGAATAAAGATGTGTGTTGCACACTCTTCAGTTTCCTCCATCAGTGTTGTGTGTCCACAGGTCAGTCGCTGACAGCCATGGAGATGCTGAGCACAACCGCTCTGTCTTACTGCCACGTGGGCAAGAACGAAGCTGCTGCCTGCCGCTCTCTGCTGACACTCTGCAAGTGGCTGCTGGCTGACTGGAAGGACATGACCCCTCAGCTGAAACAGGCATGCTTTTAGCACAAATATAAATCTCAAATCAAGTATTTCTTAGTGCAGTGAACATGCAGCTTTACTTCTATTTCACAGTATTCAAATTATGGAAAAAATAAACTTGCATACAGCTGAAATGAGCATCCTGATTCATGCTCAATAATCCAGGTAGAAAAATTCTAACAAAGTTAAGTCATGTCCTCTGGACAGATTATTCTTGTTGAAACGTTTTGCCTTAACCAACACACTTGGTCAGTCTGAGGAGCTGCAACAAACTCAAGGCCCCAGTATACTCGGGTGTACGTCAGTCTGCGTGTACCAGATTAGAGTTGAAGCGGACGCCCACAGGGAATGTCCGTGCAAAGCTCAATTTTTACAACCTCGTACGCGTGTTCTGTGTTGCACAATAATCTGCCCGGCGACGGACTGTTTTGAATGGGACAACAATGTATTAAATTCCCCTTCTTCATCCCTGATCTGGTTTAATGGCCTTTTCTTTAGTTTTTTTGCCAAGAGGCAGTGATCTCTTCCTCCTCTGTTGATGCCATGACTGAAATGGTGAGAAATGAAGGAATTTGTCACGAGAGAATTAAACTCAGGTCCAGCGTGGCTGCGGGAGGGTCTGGAGATTTCCTGTTGGGCTGGTCTGATGTGTGGGCTGCAGGGCTATTGCTCCCTGTTTTTTTAAATAAATTATAACTTTTTATTAACAACATATAAACACAGGACACCACTGTGGCTGGGGCTGCCAGCTCTCTTTTTTTTGGCGACCTGTCAATCAGTCCAGTAGGCGTGTCAGCAAATGACCAATCTGCTAACTCTATTTGTCCCGAAGGTAAACGCCCCTTGTCTGTGAAGCTGCTCTGGGTGGACGCTCGAGTATAAAGTCTCAACCCTCTACAGACAGCGCACACAGTTTTCGCGTGGCTGACAGGACACGCGAAAACTGGAGCCTTCAGTCTGAGGCCCCGTTTACATGAGCGAAACATTCAGCTGTTCAGTTACAGACAACCATAGATATAAACACTAGATCCCACACTGGCTGCTGCGGCGCAGGATTTTCGGCCGCTATCTTGGAGCGGTCGTCTTATTTGTTAAAGCAGAAGATGTCTCAGCACTTCGCAGCTTATTTCTGTTCTAATCGACGGACTGTTGACGTCAGGTCTCGGGGGATAACTTTTCACAGTAAGATGAACATATTATTGTTAGTATTTTGTGAATATAAAATTACTGTACTGTATTTATGTCCACCAGCTGATGTGATGTTCAGTGTAACACGGTGTTTAGCTGCAATGAAGCTGACTGAGATCTGATGACAGGAATATTTTGCTAACAAGCATACTCACTATTTCAGCAGCTTTGGTTCATTATTAACAGATATGCATCAAAACTGGAGTTTTGTTTAAGTTCTAGGATATAAAAAAATAAAACTAGGGAGAATATAGGAAATAGAAAATAAGATTGACCTCCTCTGTACAATGTTTTTGTGTAGACACAAATCTCCTGTTTTCATTTTGAAGGTTTCCCAAAGAACAAGATGTGAGGAAGAGGAGGAAGTATCTTTGAGGAGGATTCATCTGAGCAGTGAGGATTTTAAACTGGAGGATTTTGATCAAACTG